CACGAGACACACATTAGAGGATGTTACTATTATGATCAGAACGTCGTGTTCTGGGTGCTCCTTCAGTGTGTCGTGGCAAGGACAAACATTCTTATCCCATCCCCTCCCCACAGGAGTGCCCCAAGGATTATTACTAGGACCCCTCCTCTTTGCAATACACCACCTCTTTGGGTCCAATTATGCACTCGCATGATGTCTCATATCAATGCTATGCAGACAACACCCGACTCTACCTGACGTATTCACAAGACAACCCCACTGTCTATGAGCGGATCTTGGCCTGTTTTTCAGACATATCCACATGGATGAAGGAACGCCTTCAACAAAACCTCTCTAAGACTGAACTCCTGGTAATCCTTGCCAATCAGTCTCTTCATCATGATATCAATACTAAATTCGCCTCTTCATCTCTCACACCAACTAAGGTCACAAAAAACCTGAGTGACATGTTTGATGACCAGCTCTCCTTCTCTGACCATGTTGAATCCATTTCCTGGTCGTGCTGCTTTGCTCTATACGACATCAGAAAAATCAGGCTCAAAATCAGTTCTTGGTCCAGGCCATGGTTATCTATCTATAACTGCAATGTCCTTCTGACAGGCCTCCCTTTGTGAAACCCTTGCAGATGGTTCAGAATGCGGCAGCCCATCTGGTCCTTTACTCATCAATCTACACTGTCTACCCATGGCCACCCGAATCTGATTCAGTCACTAATGCTGCCTTCAGAGAGACTTCTGGGTCAGCTCCATCTAATTGAGCTCAATCATTCAGCCTTGTGCTCCTTCTCAGCCACCTGTGTTCCTCCAAGGAATGTGGTCTGGTATCACCATCCCTGCACACAAGATAGTCTCAGTCCAGACTGTTCTGGTCTGTTGTTCCTCGATGGTGGAACAAGCTACCAAAGTCTATCAGAGCAGAAACGTCCCTCCCTATCTTCAAGAATCTGTTGAAGACTCATCTCTTCAGAGATTACCTCCTCTCCTAACACCTCTAATACCATTACATGTCTACCTCTCTCACTACACTTCTTTACCTGATCTCCTTCACTTATTAAATAGATGTAGAATTTACTTACACCAAGGTCTGCTACTGCACTGACGCTTTACTGATGTTCCTCACTTGTAAGTCTCTTAAAAGTGTCTGATAAATGAGTAAATGTAAATGTAAATGTAAATGTAACTTCATGGTGCTTCCCAGTTGGTTTAAATCAATAGACTGAATTTGAGTATCTGGTGAGGGGATATGAATAAATAAAATCCTCACCTCCCATAAAGATGAAAGAGACTGCTTCTAAAAAACACCTGACTAGTTTAAATGTTAGTTTTAATGGAAAATACGAGGGTTTTCATTAACTGGTTCATTAAGTGGTATGTAATGTTGATCAGTAACATTCAAGTGAGAGTGTTGGGGTTTGCTGCTTTCTGTTTTATGTCACTGTAAAGTGAATATCTTTGGTTTTTAGTTCCGCTGGTCAAACAAAACAAACAGTTTAAAGACCCCACTTCAAGCTCTTAGAGATTGAGATGGACAATTTTCCCAATTTTCCATTTTTTTATTGCTTGCATAATCAAGAAATAATCCACAGATTAATCAAAGTTAAAAATAATCATTACTGCAGCACTAAACAAGCCAACTTCTCAGACTGAAACTATTTAATTTGGCGGCAAAACTGAAAGAAAGTACACCTGAAAAATTGGTATTAACCATGTTCCCAGATCTTAGCTGTTAACTTAAGCGCAAAGTTATTATTAGTGATAGAAATAAAGGCCAAAACTATACAAATAAGACCCGGGTTATAATAAACCAGAATTACAAGATATCAATAACTATACCCCCAGCTGTTCCAGCTGAGCTCCAGCTCCCAACAGTGCAGCAGTAGCTACTCTGGTTGGTATTTACTCCCACAGACCGCTGCTGTCAATAGCATATCCATCATTTAAAAACTGTTGACAGATCATGTGTATGAACTGGTACTGCTGCTTGCTTCCTCATAGCCACACACACACACACACACACACACACACACACACACACACACACACACACACACACACACACATACACACACACACACACACACACACACACACACACACACACACACACACACACACTCACACACACACACACACACACACAACACACACACACACACACACACAGTGACCTTCAGGATGTAACTGCACAGTCAGCTTCAGAGTCAAACTCCAGTCTGTATTACAGCTAACAAACTAGTGAATTAGTGTTGACATACATGACTCTACATGTTGGGAAATGCTGCTTTCTGTTGATTGATCGATCAGAAAAATGAGTTCATCATAAGTCATGCATTAGCTGTCTCATTAGCTGAGATTGATTATCAGACTCAGTGGAGGTAAATCACCCCCTGAGGCCAGAGGTGGAACAGAACACTATGCAGAATTACATGAACACCACAATCAGATATTGTTCTAATTAGGCTAAATATATGTGAATGATCTCATGGTGTGGGTTTGGTTATGAACACAGCCTAACACAGCAGAGGCAACATTCTAAAGTGTCTCTACTGCCAGAGTGCTCTGGCAAATACTGCTCTGACTCATAAACTATAGCTCACAGCTTCAAATACTCTCACACACAATTAAGAGCTGATTGCATGCCCTAATGGTTCCTGCTATTCTGATATCATACGCATAGCAACATCAACAGTATGTGTTGTGATTTCATGTTCCTCTGGTGACATGGCTTGTACTTAATGTTACATTAATCAATATTTTTATATAAACAATTGATGAAATTACTATGTGTAATGTAAAACATTTCCACAGAGAACTGTCTCCAATTCTGCAGTTTCCTCTCTATAAAGCTATTTAGCCCCTTTTAGCTCAAATGTTTTGGTGCTGTGGCTCCAAGCAGGCAGCTGTTCTGCGAAAAGACTACACTACCTGGAAGCTACACTACCAAGGTCAGTAGCAAACAGCAGATATACAGATAGTAGTTAGAAACTAGCTGGTGAAGACAGTGGAGCAGCCAAAGACTTACAATTACTGGATGTCCAGAAAAATGACTCCAAATGAATGGCAAGTCATAGCTAACCTGTTCACCATAACAACTTTATATGGTGATTTGTTAGTGTTGTGTATGGAGATTATTTTGCTGTCCCAAAATGGCCAGAAAAATAAATTAGAAAGTTGCGAAAGTTGACTGCATGGCTAGTTGAACCAAAAATGGAGGCTGAGGGCAAAAATGAGCTACAGGCTGTACTATGCCCAGACTACACATGCCACTAAATTTTGCCGACAGCCCCAAAAACCAGCTAGTAGCCTATATTCTGTGCTGAAATACAACCTGGCTCCAGATTTGCCGTGTGTCAGTTAGTTTGTGCAATGTGACGAAATATGCACCATGCAACATCCACTTATTTAATATATGTCAATTCTTCAAGTCTGGTCGGTGTCTGATATTAACTTTCAGGCACCTGTCAAAGTTGTTGGAAGTTGTGGAAGCCAAGATAATGAATGAAGTTTTCATTCATTGGTATCGCACAATCAATGACATCAGTTACAATGACTGTCATCTTATTGAACTTAGTGGGATAACCTGCATGGTATTCTTATCTAAGTAGCCTATCCTACTCATTTTCAAGGGACACCTGAATATTATAAGCTATTTTGTACCAGGTATTTATGTAGGGGAGACCAGGGATGGTTGTAACATGGGTCAGTTGTAACACTTACAATTTCTCCAATCAGGTACAAGTTACAAATCACCTGATTTACTCATGTTATACATGTTCAATTTAGTCCTTATTCCAAATATGAGGAATTAGCAGCCTGTGAGGTAAGAAAGTTTATTTTTTTACTTCATTTGTTTTTGTAATAGCAGCTGCCTGATTTGTAGTTCAACTCTTCAAACTTATGTCATGTTTATTTTGAGTCTAGATATTTTTCATGCTAGTTGTCAGTGCTAATGTTAAGCTAGTTCATGGCTACAAGAGTCTGGGTTAGTTGTAACAACAATACACATAGGCGGACACACACACACANAGGTGCCTGATTTGTAGTTCAACTCTTCAAACTTATGTCATGTTTATTTTGAGTCTCTAGATATTTTTCATGCTAGTTGTCAGTGCTAATGTTTTAGCTGTAAACTGCAAATTAAGCTGGTTCATGACTACAAGAGTCTGGGTTAGTTGTAACAACAATACACATAGGCGGACACACACACACACACACACACCAATTATGTTAAAAAAAGACCTTTAAGTGTTGAATAAAAGTTTTCAATGTCAAGTTTTTGTCATAATCGTTGTCATGATGTTACATTTCACCCCAGTGTTACAGCTAACTTGGACTATGAGGTGAATTGTAGCATTTCACTCCTTGTGTGTGAGACTTAACCACATACATGCTCTGTTTGTGTTGCAGAGATAACACCTATACCATTTAATAGTTTGTATTAAGCTTTGGTACTGGCTCAAAAGATACAGACAGTCTGCCCTGCTCTCCCCTACTTAAAAAACATTAAAAAAAAAATAGGCCTACTAAAGAACACAATTACATCACAGCAGAGCAAAAACAAATATTAAACATAAAGATAAGCATTATAAAACTTTTCCTGAAGAGAATGGACTTCCAGAGAATTAGTATAAGTTAATTATATCATATATTCTACTTTTAAAACGTTATAGACTATACTGGCTCTACGTGTCTCACTATTATGAGCTGGGCCTCTCTGTTCTTAGCTGTACAGGTGTAGGCTAAATACAGGTAGCCAGTGGGTTGAATTACAGCGCACAGAGCCGTGTGGTAAACAATATGAATCCATATACATGTAGGCTATATAAACACATTATCTTCACTTATTAGTGAGGTGATAGTGGTGCAAATGTAACAGAAGACTATATAGTAACAAATCGTTCATCCACGCCATCAGTAACGACATCAGGCCTTATTACTTCTTATGAGTCATAACAATGCTTTACTTTTTCGAGTAACGAGCCATACCCCTGCTGAGCCCACCTCCTGCAGCTGCTCCAGCTCCAGCCTCAGCGCCTCCTGCTCGGCCTCCAGGTCGGCGTACTGCTGCTTCAGGCTCTGGTTCTCCTCCAGAACCACCAGCCCGCACTCCGCCGCCCGAATCTTCTCGCGGTTGGCCTCCGCCAGCTCCCGGGTCAGGCGCTCCACCTCGCCCCGGTACTGCTCCACCGTGTCCCCGCATCCTGCTCCACCGGCAGCCATCGCCCCACTCCCTCCCTCTGCCCTCTGAGGCAGAGAGCCCCGCAGGAGGGAGAAACAACCGAGGAAGGCAACAAACCCCCACCGCCGCCGCCCCTCTGAGGAATCACACCGCTGTTTCAAAGCTCATGTAAAAAGGAACAATAAAGATCCGTAATTATCCACAAAGCGCTGTCATCGTCATCAGAGAGAGTAACCTCCTGCCATGTGATGCTCTGAATGATGCAGCTTCTCATCATCCGCTGCCCGCATCCTTCTCCCCTCCCTCTGCTCTGTTTTTCTGCTTATTCACCGGCATCAGGACGCCATCTCTGCCTGCAGCCGTGAAGCAAGGCACACTCCCCGCTCTCTGTCATCCTGCTGCAGCCTCACACTGTCTGGATCCTCAGAGAGTGGTAATACAGCTCTGCTCTGCCCCGCGTAATCAGACGCAGAGTATCAGGAGCTGGATGCGCCCTCTGGAGATCAGCTATAGACAAGTTTCTCCTCACTTATACGCACTATTTTCTTTTAAAGTTACTGGTCCCACCAACATCTGTCATTTTACATGTTTCAGAGTTTGAATTGATATATAATAGATTTGAAATGGCTTCTAATAGTCTGTGATTTAGAAGCATCTGAGCAGAAGGTGATATATTTAACCTATAGGGAAAGTTCTGATACAATAAATTTTACATGGGCACAAAATATGCTACATAAACATACTTTTTGTCTGATGATTGATTATAATTTATAACCAAGGCTAGTGGTCCAATACTACTATCTTATCCTTAATAATGAAATATTAATTAAGACCTGGAGCACTGGGGCTATAAGTACATGTAGGCTATATTCATTTTAGTAGCCTATATGTCACTTTGGTATCACAGTAATATAGCCTAGTAGGGTAAGTCGGGGGTCTAATTCCACAAATCAGATAATCAGCCATTTTTTGTGACCATTCAAACGTTTGAACGCAATTAAAATGAGAATGATTGTTCTAACATTATTTGAGTATAATACTCTACAACCTATAGGGTAGGCCTTCTCACAAAACAAAGTTCATTATTAACAGTTCCCAAGTTATAGGCTCAGTTGACACATCTGACTTCAAATGCAAATTCTGAGTTTATTCTCATATCAGTTTATCTAGTGTAAATAGTCTCAGAGTAATAGAGCAAAATGCAAAAGTACTACTACTTTATACTCACATTTTCCTGTACGCTAAATATTCTTTACACTTACAAATTTCATAGTTTTGGCAAAATTTACTGTAGCCTATAGGTAAATACAAAAAATTAAGAGGACAAAGAAGAAAACATTTATACACCATTTATTGATATATTAGTCATGGGACAATGGGAAATGTGTGTGTTTAGTGTTTAGTCTGAAATAATCTTTACTGTACTTGATGATATCTTAATCTCCTATCAAGTAGTAGGTTATATAATATAGAAGATTTTAAGAGAAATATTGGAAATCTCAGGTGTGAGATATTTAAGATAATCATTCAGCTGCAATACAGGAGTAGAAGACAAATACATCTGAGGATAAACTCCTTATGATATCTTAAATCAAAGATGATTTATCAGTATCAAGTAGGCAATTATTGTCCTGTAGGGGGCGGAAATACACTCGAAATGCATTTATCCTCATGACGCACAGGAGAGAGTCATCGTTAAGCCTTCAAAATAAAAGCAAAAGAAGTAAGAAAATAATAATAAAATGAACCAATTTATTTTGCATATTATATAATTTTTACACACACAATAAACACATTAAGTAAAAAATAATGCAATTGAATGCAAAAAAACTCTTATTATGAAAAGAAGTAGAATTAAATAACATTTCGCTATGATACTTGAGATATTTTACAATCTCATGATAATATTACAATCGTGTCATAGTTATTCACGTGATTGTTTATTTTATAATGTCTTATTTATTTCTCTAATATTGAACACTGTTTCCCCAGTGAATCAGCAGTCAGGTTGAAGAGGTGACGCCTTTATTGTGAAACATTTCACACCGGAAGTATGACTCTTGTTGTGGGCAGCGGAACACCGGCTATATCATCTATGCGGTAATTACGCCGCGTTGCACGTTGCTAGTTAGTTGCAATGTTGTAGCTATTAGCACGAGAGCCATTCCTTTGCTGGGAGGGAAATCCACCATTTAGTTTCTCAACCCTACTTCATAACTTCTCAGCCGTTCACAGCCAATTCAGCAGAGCTAACGGAAATTACTGACCAGAAATACCTGCTAGCTTGTTGTCTGGTCTTTCTCTTAGCCTGCTAGCCTATCCAGCCAGCTTGCTAGCTAGCTAGCCGCTAGCATTCTACCGCCTCCTCCCTCAGAGCGAACCGTCTCCGGCCCGGCTGGAAGACCATGGCGATGAGACAGACTCCGCTCACCTGCTCCGGTCACACCCGGCCTGTGGTTGACCTGGCCTTCAGTGGAATCACTCCATATGGCTACTTCTTAATCAGCGCCTGCAAAGGTGAGACCTGTGGGCAGTATATAAGGAAAAATTAGGTTTATCAAGATATCGGAAAAGATTTTAACGTTTAACGTTGGACACTCTAAGTGGTTCCAAGACGAATCCTGTCTGTATTGTAAAAAAAAAACAGCCTAATTCCCATCATGTGTCTGCTGTCTCTGTAGTAATGCCCATAAATGCAGGGTTCCTATGACCACTTTTATCAATACTGAGGTTCTAAAACTGGTGATTTAAACCCATTTCCTCTTCCTAAAACCTGGCTTTCTGAAAGCTGTTGTTACAATGCTAAATCAGACGTTATCTAAGTGAGGCGGTCTGTGGCTTGTCTGACAGACACCTGTGGACAGCAGTATCTACAGGTTACGTCGGTCTGCTGGTACACTGTCCTAAGATGTACACTGTCACTGTCTCTGTGCAGATCTAGGCTTCTTTCTCTCCACATGGATGAAGGAACACCACCTACAACTAAACCTCTCTAAGACTGAACTCCTGGTCATCCCAGCCAATCAATGTCTTCATCATGATATCAATATTAAAATCACCTCTTCATGTCTTACCTCATTCAAGGTCACAAGAAACCTGGTGTCAAGTTTGATGACCAGCTCTCCTTCTATGACCATGTTGCATCTGTCTCCTGGTAGTGTCACTTTGTGGTTCCCTGATTGTGGAACAGGCTACCAAGGCCCTGTTCAGACCTGGTATTAACATCTGTCTGGCTGATTCAATCACAAATGGTCAGCTCTAAATTCAGGTGTGAAATTACCCAACACACATTGAGGACACATTTGAGAGCGGATCACTCAGACCACATTCAGAGGTGGTCTGGACCACGTGTACACATTCTTTTAGCAGTGTGAACACAAATGTGTCCTGGCCACATTGAAGGACTGCCTATTCAACTGACGTCCTGTGCCACAGTCTGATTAGTGCCGCCATAGTTTTATAATGAACGGAAAATATTTTACTATTTCAAATGGATAAAACTTTATTTCACTGTGCACAATGCATTCATTCGCTCAACCCCTCAGTGCCCCTCTTGCACGCTCACTTTCTCGCTCTCTCTCACTCTCTCACACACACACACAATTACAAGTAATGGACCTGTCTGTCAATTGGCTTAAAACGACGACACATACCTGTTTATTTGCACATAAAATGGAGGAAATGCGATCCGATCACAAGTGGTCAATCGAGCCGCATGTGCCTCATTTTAAAGCCAGGTGTGAACTGAGGTACTTAGAGCTGACCACTTGTGATGGACGCATGTTAATACAAGGTCTGAGCAGGGCCCAAAGTCTATCAGAGCAGAAGTGTCCCTCTCTATCTTCAACAAATCTGCTGCTGAATCTCTTTAGAGAGCACCTCTTCTCCTAACACCTTAACATGTCTAACTAGCTCTTACTGTGAACTTTTGGTGTATTTCCTTATTCAATCTCCATCAATTATTAAATAGATGTAGTACTTACACCAAGGTTTCCTACTGCATTGAGGCTTACTGATGTCCCTCACTTGTAAGTTGCTTTGGATAAAAGTGTCCCCAAATGAGTAAATGTAATGTAACACGTGCATCCTCTTTGCTTTTCTTTGTCAGATGGCAAGCCCATGTTGCGCCAGGGAGACACAGGGGACTGGATTGGAACGTTTCTGGGTCACAAAGGTGCTGTCTGGGGAGCCACTCTGAACACAGACGCCACGAAAGCAGCCACCGCCGCCGCTGACTTCACGGCGTGAGTAGCAGCAGTCCTAAATGGGCTAACAGACTCCTGCCTACATGTCTATGTTGAAAACAGCCTTAAATAGCCTATTTACCCTGAGTGCACCTCTTTACCCCAGACTGCTTCTTATTGCTTCAAAGACAGATTGTTATGTGATGTTACGTTATTACTGTGACAATAACTTAAGTCTATTGCATGATTCGGTCAATAATTTGATTTCCTAAACCCTCCATAAATAGATGATGTAAGGATATCTTAACACACCATGTTCCTTGCTTACATAAGCAAATTACACACGTCCAGTAAATGTTAACAAATTGCTAATTGATGATTGTTCAGGTAAATAAAAACATGAGCATTAGAAGAGGTAGTATTTTTGTCCTGACTCCAGGGGCCTGCATGTGGGTTAACCTGCTACCTCGGGCTTAGTTCAGGTTTTCTGGTATAACAAACCTGGTTCAAGTTTATCTGGACTGGCCATGGTAACCTGCATTGTAGGTGAACTTCAGAGCATTAAAATGCTGCCCCTCTAGGAGGAAATAGGGGAGAAAAAAGTCTACATTCCTTCAGGATCAGGACATGGAAAAGGTGCAGAGTTTAAAGTAAGGAAAAACAGACACATTTTTATAGGTCAGTAGAATCACCAATTTTTATGTTAGAGATTGAAGACTAGTTTTTTGCTCTCTGGGTTTAAAACAGGACACAAACACTGTGTGGCCACAGACAGATATAACGTAAAATCCATAGAATCCCACTGCTGGCGAAAGTCTTAGATACATGAAAGAGCTGTACCATTACAATGAAGGACATGTTCTTTCATTACAGTTCACATATGAGTAGCAGCTCAAAAAGCCTTTTTGTTCTCACCATGGTGCTGGAGAGCAGCAGTGAGTAAGAAAATAGTGACTAGAAAAATAATAAAGGAGAAGAGTGTTGTTAGTTCTGTCATTCTGTCAAAAGTTGCATCACTGATTTTTAAAATATGTTTTGCAATTGAATATTTATCTCCATGGTTTAATGTGCATCGTCAGCACCACGCCCCACTTGCTCAAGCAGATCAGTCCATCATAGTGAATCATTGGATTTTGCCATTGTTTTGGTTCCTGTATTAGTTGGTCACTTTTGTGTATTTTCTGCGATGGATGGATAGATACCTTCTTATTATGTCTTTTGTTACATATCTGTTGTAATTGTCTTGTTCAAATCACTGAGCAAATCCTGATCTCCAACACACTCTGTGGAGAGATGGATGTTATTAAATCAGTGTGGCTACATAAAGTATTGTCAGTTAAAACATGACTTCTGTGATTTTCAGAAAGGTGTGGGATGCAGTGAGTGGAGACGAGGTCCTCACACTGGCACACAAACACATCGTGAAGACTGTCACCTTTACTCAGGTCAGTGCAGATGAACTATTCAAATAACATGGTGGTAATAACATCCATGGTACATGGATTCAGGTTCCATGTTTTACCTTTTTTGTTCAAAGGTGTCGGAGCTCTTTATTGAGAGCAAGGTAGAAGTAGCCAGCACAAAGAAAACGATGATGAGGGGGGATGCATCCAAGTTATTTCGGGTTGTTTCAAATTTGTTTGATCTTGATTTTTTTCTTTTCTTTTCTTTTTTTTTTTTTTTTTTTA